CATCATCTTGAGGAATGTGTATCGTAGGCTTCCTAAATTTCACCATGATGCCCGTTTGTGGGAATATTTGCACGCACGCTACTCAAAAGAGTTCTTAATCAATCGTTCCATTCTCGAATCGGCTGAAAAAGAGGGTTCCCTAAAAATCGGCGGCCTTGTCAAAGTTATAGCGCCCAAATTCGTAAACAGAAAGGATCGCCTCTAGGCTCTAACGATTTCAACTTCTTTACGCGTGTTAGCGTTCTTTATTACACTTTGCGCGCGGAAAAGTATAATGACGTGTTACATTCCCCAAGAACATTCTTCAATCTCTTTCAAGTGATAACATGTTAATAATGATTTTGCAAAATCCATTAAAATACTACAGCCGATGCAAGTATTAACCGGAAGTATATGGAGCGTTTCAAGCATCGAAGCGTAAACGAGAATTATCAGTCAGATGCAATCTCGCTCATATTTTATAGTATGACTTACGCGACGTAACTTATTTTTATAGAAACGTGATAGAGAGACAGTGATCGCACATGTAACTTCTGATTCGGATATATGTTTGATATATTTCTTTTGCGGATTATCGAAAGCAGACGAGTCTTCCGATTACGAGAAGTTTCAGGAGCCGTTCCAAGAGCTTAGGGACGACGTCACCGTCGTTGTCGGTTGTCGCTCCGCGTTTGTCGGAATCCGTAGCGTAAATTTTCAGCACGACTTGCCGGAGTCATCTGGCGCGCACGATAGGATTACGAGATTAAGGATCTTCTCGTTGAGAGCCGTTAATAATAATAATCGCCGTCACTTCCGACAACGATGAGAGACGCGAGTGCGCCTTCAATACGCTCCCCTCTTTTGCTAATGTCGCCTGGCGTTTTCGCGAAGAAGTTGCGGACGCGACGTCGAAAGAAATCCTAAACGCCACGACGGGCACCTATGCGCGACCTCGTCCCATAAATTCCAGTTCCAAGGATACGCGAATGTGCAGCGTGGCCAACGACGCTACGCCGAGGGTCGTTCGAAGAATAATAGTTGACACGAATAGTTGGTACTACGTGCGCACGCTGCGAACGTTTGCCGTGGCATTATGTAACCGGGATTACGTCACCCTTAGCGCGTTTCTTGCGCTCTGTAAGACGCGGATCGTCGAAACTACCGGTGTGGCGTATAAAGGAAACGTGCACCAAATATCGGCGACGTGGCTGTTATTAACCTTGGATTGCGGTATGCAGATAATGATAGAGGTACGAGGAAACTTGCGTTACAGGAAAACATACAGGCGACACAAGTCTCACGTTAAGTCACGTTCAACGAAATATTTTGTAACTCCATGGATTTTGTTCAGATGCGTACAAAATACAAATTTCTAAAAGTTTAATCATCCCCAAATATCATTTTCATGCTTTATAATTGCAAATTTTATGAAGTAATATTTATTTAATTAGGCTATATAAATGATTATATAATTATTTGGAATAATAATTGTGTGGGACAATATCTGTTATGAAGAATATAGTATGTCAATTTCGTAATTAAGTTATATAACATTTGTAATGATACTCCGAATTGTATTAAAGAGGGAAAAATAATTTTTCTACACCAGTTGCTGGTATTCTCACGACATTTTATATATGTGGCATTATCATATCGCTTTATATTTTCGACTAAAACTCGGATCAGTGGAGGGTTGAAATTCGTCGTTCCATCCTGCTAAATTATTTGCGTATGCTCGCAACGTTTCATGCTAGAAATGCAATACGGTTTACAAACATCGATCAACGTAATATAGCGTTCTAAACTGAATAATTGAATTAATATGTTAATGGGCCCGGATGCCCGGTCGATCGTTTTATTAGGACATGCGCTGCGCGCGCGCAAGAGAGAGAGAGAGAGAGAGAGAGTCGTTTTGTGTCTAACAAACATCCTGACTCGTTCCGCGGCGAAAATCGACATGCTACCGTATCCCGCTGCAAGAAAGCTTTTCGAGTGTTGGGCTTGGGTCCAACTACGACCACCCATGTTTATGGTACCGGGCGTCTTAACCCACTGAGCGGAGGAATATATCCGGAAAACGAAGCCGAAGTTGAGAGGTTGCGCGAGGTCAGGTTCCGACGCAGTGCTATACATTTCGTTCGCAATTTCGTAAAGCAGATAATATCTGCAGCACACTCGCGGACGTAAAATAATTTCAAAGTAAATGTTCCGAGAAGTAACTTTGTCTCTCCTGAGGAGTTACTTGGGATGTATAAAATGTGTCCTCTAATTACAAAAACGAACAAATGATAAAAGTATGACACGTAATTTACTTTGAACGTTAATATCTTCCATGACCGATTTAGTTTCAGAGGCTATATCGTTTGAAAGCTCGCAAAAAAAATGCAATTTCCAAGAATATCGGCAGTATCATGATCGAGTCGGCGGCTATCGATTTCCAACCCATTGTTCAATACGACCGAAACTCTTTCGACTGCGCTCCCGATATAACGGCGCCCATACAACGCGTGCTTTGTGCAGCGCGGGAGAAACATTGGGCGCGCAAACAGAGCAATTCTAGTGCACACACAATAACCGATTAAAAAAATACTTTTCGAATCACACGGTCAGTCCCCAGCGCGGGCGATAGTTGAACGGCGATAGCTCGAACGGAAACGAGGTACGGGCCCGATAAGCGCAGTTAGTCTTCTAATTCCATTTGCCATAAACGCCGCTTACGTATCTAATCTGGCATTCCCGGCGTGCTGTACGAGCGTCTACAGAAAGGCTTTAACGAACACACAGAATCCATGAATCATTTACGGCGACACAAGGCGTTCTCTCTCTCTCTCTCTCTCTCTTTCTTAGCTCTCTCGGTTGACTCACTAGCGATTATTCATTTGCAAATAATTCGCGTCCGTGTGCTCCGTGTTTGTGCATTTCTCATAGTCGATTCGCTGAACGAGCAACGCGTTTCTCTCAGCTTAAATCTAAATGTTATGCAAACGTAAACCTTCGACTTTCGATTAGGTCGACTTAGGAGACAAGCTCACGAGATTACCGTTCGCGATACATAATTTAAGCTCCTTTTTTATATACCTTGTAAAATAAAAATGTGATATCACGTAATAAGAAAAAGTTGCCAAAATAAAGCATAGACGTACAGAACAAATGCCAATTGCATTTGTGTCTACTCTCATTCATTTGTTTATAAAACGCAATTTAAAGTTATCGAGAGATAAACTGTAATGAAATAACGCATTTAATGTTACGTAATAAAAACAACTTCCATCACACGTTCGTGATGCTCTTTGTCCAAATTGATTATAATGAGGATAGATATCAAAATGTGTAACTGAAAAAAAAAATTACGTTTTCTATTATGAAGAGCGTTCTCTTGATAATATTTTTATCTGGGTTTTGCGTCAGGTTTGTTTCTAATATGCATAATGTAAAACGGCTATAAATTTTTCGCGCGCGAAATCGCAACTAGAACCTGAATGGCCAATCCTGACTACGTTGTGAAAGTAAGACAAACGTATACATAAATTATAGATGACCTTTACTGTATTGTCGCTTGAATGGGAATCCGAAGTGCATTGCCTATATGCGTAATTCGAATGGAACGTAATATTGGCTCGCGAAGATAATAGCTATAATACCGTAATTGAAATGATGTCCGATTCATATAATTATTGCAAGAATTGTGCAATTAAAGCGCAAATTACGGAAGATTTTTCTCGCCGCTGAGAGAATCATATGTAAAGAAAGGAACTTGCAAAGAATTCATTTTGCGCATTTTTTTTAGTTATATAAGCACTTTTTAGGTTATCTTCACGCGAATCAAAAGAATTCCGCAATAAAATTTCCAGAATTATACAATTACTGCAAATTTATGAAATATTTACGTTCACCTCACATAAAGAATTAAATTATTTTAAAATATATTGGAAATTAATTAACACATTTTCATGTATATGAAAATGTGCATATATGTAAAAGAAAAGCCTTCAGAAATTTACGTGACATTGATTATTTTATTTATATAATGACAAAAATGCATAAATTATTTGTAAGCATTCGTTCATTTTCAAAAATGCATTTCGAATGTCTGACAGTTTGAAATAAAATTTGACAAATCGCATTTGTATGCATATTTAATGTATCTTACTGAAATAGTGCGACAGTTTTGAAACAAGTAAGTCACACGTGTATCTTCAGAACATTCTGATGTCTTAAAGACGTCTTAAAAAAAGGAGGTTCGCTAGAATCTGAAAAGAAACGTCCACAAGACTCTACTAAAAGACGTTTTTGTGACATTTTTTAGTCATGTCTGTATAAGACGTCTTAAAAAAGGACGTTCGCTGGACGTCTGAAAAAGAGACGTTCATTAGACTTACAATTAACTAAAAGACGTCATAAAGACGTTTTTTAGTCATGTCTGTAAGACGTCTTAAAAAAGGACGTTTGGTAGATGTCTGAAAGAGACGTCCATTAGACTTGACTAAAAGACGACTTTATGACGTCTTTAAGTCATGTCTTTAAGACGTCTTAAAAAACGACTAGATTAGTTTGCTAGATGTCCGAAAAGAGATGTTTGTCCAAAAGACGTCTTTGTAACGTCTTTAAGTCAAGTCTTAAAGACGTTTCTTTTTAGACGTCTAACGAACGTCTTTTAAACATACATGTTCTCTGAACTTACGTCAGATAGTTTCAGATCCGTTCCTTTGCTCGCCGGGATGCTGTCGACGGCCGAAGTGGATAGACGTACGACGTTAGTCCGTGTAGCAAATCGTCGATGTGTGAATTCGCATCAAACAAATCTGCCTTTCTTTTCGTTCGCACCGGCACCTCATACCCCCACACACGCAACACAACGTAACCGCGGCGTCGCGACGTCACCGATCAGTGCTGCCGCGGCGTCGCGCGGCCGTTTACAGCGGTACAAGTCGCCGGTGGATCGCGTGCGCTCGGCTACGTTCGGCTGCGCTCGGGCCTCCCCGCGCGCAGTTACGGTGGAGGAACGTCAGTTACTCTTCGACACTCGCGCGGAAGAGTCTGTGCGTATTTCAGCGGTCGGGGCTATTCGCCGGGTCCCTATCAACGGAGTGCCGAGTATCTTCGTTCAAAAGGTGTTTACCCCTTCCTCCCCCCCTGCGTTTTTCTCCATATCCCCCCGTGACGCGCAGTCCGCCGGGCAAGATCCGTGCGTGCGGTATCGCGATATCTCGGTGTCCGTGCGGTGAAGAGAAGTTGGCGTGAGGGCAGACCGGCGTCGATCTCGGCGCGCGCGCGAAGAGATAAAAGCCGGGTTACCTCTCGCGACGAGTACGATACGCGGAACGGCAGACCGGAGATAGAAAAAAGACCGCGTGTGTGGTTGCCGTTAATAATATAGTGAATGCGCGAGTTTCGTCGATAGTTTAACCAGCGCAGCGAGATACCGTATCGCGCGGATGCGTGCGGATGTCTTTAAAGTGGAGTAACGTGGTCTGAAAGAGGGAGGCGCCGGGGAACCGGGCACAGTCGGAGCACGGACGAGCTCCAGCCGGCATTTTGACGTTTGCTCCGCGTGTCTTCCCCCTTCCGCGTTCCCTCCCCGCGTGTGATGAATACTGTCGCAAGTGAGCCGTGCACGCGACGCCAGCAGACAGAGCGTCGAGCCGCACGAGTGATGCCGCGTTCCCAGTGAATTTTTTTTACCGCGTTTTTTCGCCGCGACAGTTGGCGGCGTTACAGCGAGCAGTAGCGACAACATTAACAAAGCGGCAGCAGCGACGCGGCGGCACACAGTTCTCCTTCGGTCGTTTTGCACGATCGAGGTACAGAGATAGAAAGAGTGAGGAGAGCACCTCCCGTGTGTCGCGCGTGTGCGCGCATTTCGCGAATACACACCGGCGAGTTATCGGCCGTTATCGGGCAAGTGCGCGACGCGAGGAAGAAATCTCTCTCTCTCTCACGCGGCTCCTCCATAATCGTCGTATAGGTTTCTCGCGGCCGGACGTGTGTCGCTTCGTCTCTCGGGCCTTCTCTCGTTGGCCGTTCGCCGCCGGCATTCTCTCGCGCCTACGGTGGAGGGGGAGGCTGCCTGCCTCTTCCCCGATGATACGCACGTGCGCTCGCCGCTACTCGCTACTACGTTTACGTGCGTGCGTGCGTCCGGAGCGCGTTCAGTGAATCGAGTTCGTATCTTGTCGCGCCGCCCGCGCCGCGCCGCGCCGGACGGACGGACGGGCGAGTGACGCGCAGTGCCCCGTGTTCGTTCGTCGTGTACGTCGTCGTCGGTCAGTTCGTTCAGTTGAGAGAATTACCCGCTTACGCGCGCTCGCCGCCGCGTCCCCCGTGTGTGTGGAGCACCTGCTCGAGAAGGAGGCCGAAGCGGAGGGCCGCCGCGAAGGACTTTCGCAGCCGCGCGTAGCCATGGATACGCTCCTACCGAGCGGCAATATATTTCGAGAGCTGCAGGACATACACGACACCGGATACTTCTCGGCCCAGCCGTCGCTCGAGGATCACTGGCAACAGGTACGACACACCGCGCGCTCGTGTTTGAGCCGTGATCGCTAATTGATTGAATAGCGATTGAACGGGGGCAAGTCTTATTCCGTCGGTATCACGTATCGATTTTTATCGGAATCTTTAGTAGTAAACGAGATATCGCGAGACGTCCATATAGATAAATAATTTTGTACGCTTTAATTAGATCAGCGTCTCGTATTTCTTCTTGTTATCGTAAAACGACGTTTCCACAACTAACCCGAGCTTTCCAATTTTTCTCTCAGAAGTGTCAAGTAATTTACGAGTCAATTTATAGCAAACTTTTCTTACGCGCGGTACGTTAAGGACATGACAGGATAATCCAAGTGTGCCGAATTAGGGTGTCGCACAACAATACGGTGGCCACGTGCCAAAAGTCACTGCAGTATAGAATACCGGCATCCCTAACCGGCCTTCGCTGTTTGACAGTTTGTCGAATGTTTCTATTTATTATCTCTCGAAGGGACAAAAGCCGGGAGGGTTCGCAGGTATACGCAAGCTGCTCCCTCGTTCATTCATTCATACACTCGGAGCAAGCCGAGCGCGCTGCGGCGCCGTTTAGCTTCGTTTACGGAGCACGATCGTGGTTAGTGACCTTTGACCTTCCCGTCTCGCGGCCGGTGTCGAATGCCGCGCGCGCGTTCCAGAGAAACGCGGTCTTCGCGTACGCGAGAAACGGAAATCGTCGCACTGCGAACGCGCGTCGGCCCGTAAGATTTGCGCATCGCAATGGAAACGAATGCGGATATAACGAGTACGGTGACCCGCGATCCTTTTGCGTCCTTCGCGGAGCGTGACATTTGTCAAGACGCGAAAACTTGTGAACGAGGAATTGCGATAACGGCGTAAGAATGATCGTCGGGCTCTTCCGCTGCAAAGACCTTAACGACGCGATAAATCTCGGGTTACATGGTGTCTATGTGTCGCGGGACCTTTGTTATAATAAAATAGGTCGTGTTGTACGCGACATACAAATGTTTTATATCGATCTAGCGCGATATATGTCACAATTATTGATCGCACAACATAGCATTCCCTGCAGATTTTGAAAATTAATGAATACGTAATGGATGTGTAATTATATCATTTACATGAAGAAATTAAGCGACCTTTCCGCTCTCAACTTTGAGATTGCGTCATTTTCTTAGAATATTAATTTTCGTAAATGCCGAAAGTATATATGTCGGATTTTGAAGGCGGGCCATTTAATCTTTCAGTCCAACGTGTAATCGTTAAAGGGAATGTATTATGGACTGAGAAGCGCTTTAAATGTATGTCAATCGGGTTTAAAGACCCGGTTGTGCTGTATATGTGTGGACTTATATGATACGCTCACACGCACACGCACGGAATATCAGCAATTAGTTTACTATGGATTATTAGTGTATCGAGCTTGAAATCGGATACTGAATAGCAATTAATAATAATTATAATTAATACGAACAATAATTTATAGCTTATCATCGCACAATTCACCATTTTAATGTGTTAAATTTTTTTAAATTTGTTACCGAGAGAAGTTTTTCTGGACATATATACTTGTTTATTCATTTAAGTTCTCTTAAATCTCTTTGAGATGCATATATATGTCAAAAATTATCATACAAATAAAATGCCAACCACATTGAGTAATAGATTTTTTGGAATTTATTTGATCAAAAACGTCAAATGTTATCAATATGAATCATGATTCGTCGTATCTTCTTAATAATATCTTTATAATTAACTTTTAAATTAAAATTTGATCGAGATAAAGCAAGCCGAAAATTATACGACGAACAAAATTTTGTCATCTCTTTCTATTTTTGGAGCCAAGCATTCTTTACGTTCGCTTTTTTTTTTTAACATCGACACAGCGCTGATGTCTCGCTGATATTCTCGTGGAGGAGAGAGTGCTTCAAATTAGGACCGAGGAATTTGCCGTAAAGTTTGACGCGGTCTCGTACACGTTACATCTCTCCGGGAATTCGCCCGAGTCGGTCGGATGATCGATCGTGAGGCGCGCGCACAATGTATTCCCGGAATTTAAAAGGCAGACATTTAAAATCATTCTGTTCGGGAAGCCCAAGGCCGTATTAGATCGGTGTGTGTACGTTCAGTGACGCGCACGAGTACTCGCTATAGACGCCGCTCCGCGTCCTGTTTGTTTACGAGTGTGCAATGACCTTACTCCGGAGCGAGCGGCCAGCGTAAGAGGGACGGCACTCATTCCCCATTCAATATCTGAGGTAGTAGAGTACGTTTTTTTTCCCCCTTTCTACTGTGCCGCGTTGGTGTGGTAACAGTATATCGCGAGCGCTTTTTCAGGCCGCCGCCGCCGTCACGAGAAAATACGACCGACGTCGTGATCCGTTTAACCCTTTATTTGGTAACGTTGCCCTCGAGCGGCATCGATTTGAACCGTTTACCGGGGTGACTTGCCGGCATCGGATTTCTTTCGTCCGTCAATTCTTTAGCCAATTAGATTAAACGTTTACTTCTTGATTCACGATATTAACTGAAAATTATCAATTGTAAGATTCCGTTAAATTGAAAAATCCGTGTATGCTTAACTTAATTTTCCTAAATTTTCGAGAGAAATACATAATTTATCGTGACCGTAAAGTTATTAATAGTTATTTAAAGTTTTAGAAATAACTGATAAGAAAGATAATCGATTTCAAAAGTACTTGCTAAACTTTTAATTATTAATAAACGATGATTTTTATATTCGTAAATATTCGTTGATATCATCTATTTACGGAAACTTTTATAATTATATAAATTCAGTGTGTGCCGTAAAGATTGGAATTAATGAAATTTAAATATTGATAAAACAACAGACGCGGCACATAAACTTGATTAATTTGTTTGTGCTATAATATATGTCTGTGTATGTACGCATATGTACGGAAATGCAAGAAAAGTAAAATATTGATAAATATCTTTCTTGCGTGTGGCCTTCATATAATTTGCATATTGCAGCGAGTCATAGCTCTCCCGATTACGAACGAGTAAGGGGACGTTTATCGCAAGAAAATTTTGATCGATCGCTTGGCACTCGTACGTTTGACTCGCTCCCGCTCGGTTTGCGATTGGCGAGTTGCCTAATTGAATGTCTCCAAGCTTTTCCAACGGAAAACCGCTGGCGCGCGAGGCGCGCGTTTGTCATTAATTACTCGTGCGATCGTTTGACCGAGTGCCGCTTATCATCGTCCGGTCGCGCGGTAAAGCACGTAAAAACGAAGGGGAAAAGGGGAGAATAAACAATACACGACGTCGTGCATCGATATTTCGCGTAACCGCGTGATCATGCGAGGCATATGGCGCCAACGCACGTGTCGACAGTGTCCGATAATGCGATTTGACAGGTGCTTCGTCCCGAGTTTTTTGTATTTTGAACTTTACGCGATCTCGTCCATCAAACTGTTTCGACATCAGTTATATCTCTACGCACGACAAAGCGGCCCGATGCTTGTATGTCCAGCGTCCCGGCGCTACCTACGTAATGTTCTACACGCCAGACCGATTTGTAATCTTTTTTTTTTATTTTTTTGAAAGACTTACTCTACAAGCATCACATACTACGATTATATTTGTGTGTATTCGAAAGTTAGAGAACGCTAACTTTGAATAATTTCTTAAGTTGTTCTTTTTATATATATACATATATATATATATATATATATATATATATATATATATACTCTTTATATTATTCTCTATATATTTTCTAGATTATGTGCTGTTTTTTGATGATGTGTGAGTTTTTTCTCAGTGAAAATTCAATAGCGCACACTGTAGATGACAAGTTTAAATATTGACTAGTATTTTTCTTAATTTGATATTTACGTCTAGACAGTGTAATGGTGAAATATTTTCGACTGGCGTGTATACACATTTATTTTATCAATTAAACTACTATAAATGTTATTAATTTCTAACACACAAATCCGTGACGTTGAGCTTAATCGGTCTACTTTGTCGCGAGATTGTCTCTCATAACGAAATTTGTTTTATAGATATCGACTAATCATATTAAAAAAGCACGTAATTGCACGCGATTGTTTTAAATACGCAAAGCATGCAACAATACAGTCGCTATCGAATTTAACATCGCGGAAGTTATTACTCAGCCTGAGAGACAGTTCTGTGGCTGCGGAAGATACGCCAACGCGCGTTTCCCTCGTCGTTGCTGATATCGAGAATTCGTCCTGCGATGAGAATATTACTTATTCGTAATAATTGTCCGTATTTTTATATTTCATATTCTATATTTGATTAAAATGATAATTTCTAAATCTTTAAGAAACATAAAGTTCTGATTTTTAGTTCAAACATTTCATCAAATATTCTTAATTATCTGCTTCTTTTACATAATGAAAACTCGCCTAAGAAATGTAATATCTCGCCACTTACCATCTGCATGCACATTTTTCATATTCCATATTTTATTAAAATGATAATTTCCTAAACTTTAAGAAAGATGAAGTTCTGATTTTTAGTCCAAACATTTCATCAAATATTCTTGAATAAAAAAATTTGAAGTTAATTGTGAAAGACGTAAAAAGATTGTGGAGTTTATGGTGGTGTGGAGGTTAATTATTATTTGAAAAAATCAGTGTGACTTTATTGTGCGAAGTTTATGGCATTATAATCTCTACTAAAGCATTTGTACAGCTGACAGTTGCGAGGACGTCCAAGCAGGTTGTCGATATACATCGAAATTCAATATTTATATATCGTTCGTGCCCGGTACTCGATACGATTCTGTCATAGACAGATATGCCGTGAATTAAAATTTCCTCCTTTTCGAGGCACTGTATGCAATATCCTAGATTGGATTTCGGCGCCATTCGGCAAATCGCGCCGATTGTTTTCCACGATTTTGCGATTTACCGAGCCAAAAATATGTCTGCACATTGGTAAAACACGTATGCTTCGCCTTCGTCACCAAATAAATACATTTAGCGCGAGCTTGTTTTACGGGATGCGCGCGCACGATATAA